GTCCATGGACGCCCTTGAAGGTAACACCGCCTCCTACTTCCAAATCCTAGCATCACACTGTGCATAACTTTTCTAAACAAGAACGATTGTGTTTTGGACCCTTGTCCTGCAATGATTATCCTGATAAAAAGACTTGGAAGCCATCTTCATGGTTCCAAACAAAGGCTGGACACTTCCATGCAAGGTCTTACCTGTTTCCACAGGTTGGACCTTGAGAATCACAACGAAAACCATCCTTCAGAACAGTTCTTGGAACACCTTGGATTTGATACGACTCACCCCGCCTCTCGATTGGCCCTGCAACGCTCCTCAATTCGCTCCAGCGCCTCGGTCCAGGGACCAACCTCCCGTCCGTCCGACTCGGTCAGGGGGCCCAGGTGGAGGCGCAGAAGGGCGTCGTTCTCCTGCACGGCCTCGGCCAGCGCCTGGGTGAGGAGGACAGCGACACGAGAGCGAAAGGAAAAGGAACTAGTTTAGGAGACCGGGCATTTTAGGCACCCAGGCCTGGGCGCCGACCTGGCCGATGGGATTTTCGCCCAGATCGATGGACGTGATGCTGCGGTTCTCCTTCAGCACCTGTGCCAACGCCTGGCATGGAGCGAATACAAAGAGGTCATCACAAAAAGAATCAAACAGGGATTCATGGCCTCCGCCCCGGCATCTTTAATTCGATTCTTGCTGAGGTCGATGTGGGTGATACTAAGCTTGATCTTGAGCTCTTCTGAGAGCACCTCGCTGCGAGGTCAAACGTGCCGTTTTCCGGAGAACGAGTTCGCGCCTCTCTGCAAAGACCCGCACCTGGACTTGGGCATCCTCGATGCATCGACCCTGAAGATCAATCTCCCTCTTGGCTCCGTCGGTCTTCAGATCTTCTACAACTGCCTGGCCATCCGGAAGTTAAGCCGATTCGGTTAGGCCACCGTTCATCTCTCGAAGGAGGGGAGAAGTTCTACAGTTCTACCTCATCTTTGGTTGGGATTGGTAGTAGCTAACGAAACGACCTTTGGAACAGAGTGAGCAAAATGGCTTAAAGAACAGGACAGATCAAATAAAAGGCGCTGACTCAATAGCAGTAAGTCTATGCAGGATCATTTGCTGATTGGGGCCACCACAGAAATCCAATAATGATGATCTTAATAATTGGATCTGCGGTGGCTATGCAACACCCTGCGACCAGTGAACGTCCCTAAATCTTGCAATGAAGTTTGACCATAATGTACCAAGACGTCCTGACCCCAACAAGACATCATTTGCAGTGGGTTTAAGAAAAAGTTGCCTATGCGCTGCATCTTGGTCACAAGGTGTCGCAAGTCATTGCCTAATGACAATCCCAACTTGGATCGGCTTCACTCCAGGAAAAACTCCAACACCCTGAGGCCTTAACTGCAGCAGCTGCCTTTGCCTTGCGACGTTTTCGGCTGCGAACCCCAGAAGTGGGCACCATGGACACTCTGTCTGACTCCATGCGCAAGCAAACCCACATCATCTAGAAATCTAGAAGCACATCTGCGACTCTATCATATACTCTATCCAAACAGCACCTGCATTGTTGCCTCAACCAAGAAACAACAAAACCAGAGCAGCAAAACAATGGTACAAAGTCCATGGACGCCCTTGAAGGTAACACCGCCTCCTACTTCCAAATCCCACCGATTTAGGGTCATAACACATCTCGGGCTCTTGGGTGCCATTGCGAGGGCCCAACCATGTTCGACCGCTCACTGTGAGAACCCATGAGACCCCGCTTTGACAACAAGATGCAGTAAGTATTTCGCTTCACCTCATGATACTTAGCGTGGTACAAACCGCGCCACTTGTATCCTGCTAGATTCTAGATCACGTGTCTTGTCAAGCTGGAAGGTGGCAAACACGTGCGATGTGGGAAACAAGGCTGACAAAAGTCTCTGCAATAGCAACTGGTAGAAACGATATGTTGATTAGAGTCTGCTGTCAAGGTTGCAGCCTCTGCCAGCTAAAAGCTCAAGCTTACCATGCAATGCCTCCAGACTGCCAAAGACGGATAGTCAAACAACTGTGAAGCGGAAGCAAAAACCGAGGAGGAAGCGATGCACAACTCCATGGCCAGACGAACGGGCGATGACATGGCCGGCCATCGCACCGAACTCAAAGACTTCACCCAAGACGAAGGGGTCACTGGTGGTGTTGGCAGTGTCGGCAGTGTTCGGTCACTGGTGCCGGCAGTGTTCGACAGCGGTCCAAACCCACAGTGTGCCATAACACCGACTTGAGCGATGGCCTCCAACCTAAGCAATTTCGGTCCAATAGATTGCATAAAAAGGTGATGCTTAATTCGGCCTAAAGCGGTCTTATAATGAGGCCTGACATAGAGGAGAGCGGGTGCCATAAAATAGGACAATATATGTGTTCTCGATCTTTTGATGAAACATCAACTGTTTGGAGTCCATAGAACGAATATTGATGGAGAGGGGAAACGGTGAAGGTACCAGCAGTGCCATGCCACCTTTTTGCGGAAGGTATTGTTGAATTGCGCACACTGTGCCGGTTTGAGTACGGAGTTGACAAAGCCAGCAGGATGGTTGTGACAGTCCTCAAATGGGAGAGCAAATGGCTGTAATGACAAAAAACGGATCTTAAAGTACCAGCTTCTTCCAAGTAACCTTTTTTGGAGTCCCAAGTGACCTATTACTGGCCTAAGTGACCTCAAACCAGCGGATCAAAAGGTCACTTAGAAGAACCAGGTAGCAGTATATTGCATTGGGATCCAAGTAAATGCTTGATTGGCTGAATGACCTGAGAGAACTTCAGCTGCTCCACGGAGCTGCTGCCGGTAGATACCCTCAACAAAAAGAGAACACGCAATGTCACAATGACAGTAGAGTACCGCCACTGGTGTAGTGGTAGGTTCGCAAATGCTTCGCGAGACCTTGTGGGAAGCAATCTTTCGTGAAATAGCGGAGGGTGGGGGTACCAGGCATAGTTGAACAGTCCATGTGTCCTGGAATCATGTCCCCATAAAGATCAACATGAACGCTTGGTGAGCTGGTTCTTCACACTGATGTCTTTTCTAGAAAAATGCTTCGGATGGTTGACTCAACATCCACGACCCCAATCCAATTTGTCCCACGGGTTGGAGAATCGCTTCGATCCGCCCTGCCCAACGCCTGCACGGCAGCTTGGTAGTTTGAACTGCAACGTGCATGAATTCGCCGAAAGGCCTCACTCCCACGACAGCAACGACGAGCGACGCCGGCCGAGACAGGACGATGCTCCCGCGCCTGGCTCCCGGCGCAGGGATTTCCAAAAAGGATGATGCTATGGATTGTGTCGTTCTCCTGCACCGCCTCGGCCAGCGCCTGGCTATTGGACATACGATGAGTGATAAGTGAACGAAAGAAATGGTCCATCATGATGGAGGCAGATGGTCCGCCTCTGCGCCAGCATCGCAGATTTCGTTCTCCAGAAGGTCGATGAGCGTAATGCTACGGTTCTGCTTCAGAACCTGAGCCAATGCCTGGCAGTGCAGTGACATCAGGCGAAACCTCAATGTCCGCAAGAAGGGAATCCAGTTTGGTATCCGCCTGCGCACCATCATCTTGAATCTTATTGCCCCCCAAGGAAAAGGTGGGTGATGTTCTTGTGGATCTTCAGCGCTTCTGAGAGCACCTGGCCGTGGAGCTGCTCGTTCAGTGCAGCAGAACGTGGTCCGACCTGGAGACGCACCTGGACTTGGGCATCCCTGATGTACTTGTGCTGAAGATTGATCTCGGTCTTGCCCGAGTCGGTCTTCAGGTCTTCCACCAGTTTCTGGCCAGCCGATCCACCAAATTAGGCTACCAAGTCTCTTGAAGTAGTGATTGGTGCTACAAAACATGGAAGACAGTGGAAGCACAAGACTAAAAAAATAACCACAAATTCAACAAGAGTTCCTAAAAACAGAAAGTTTATAGGCAATAACAAGGCGATTCCCTGGTTCTTCTTACATAATATCTTCGATCTAAGGTTCTTTTTTCTAATCCTTCTCTTTCAGTCTAGAGTTGATGTGCATCAATACGACCCTGGAGTTTCCACATGCATATACTATACCTTGCCCTTGGTTTTTAATACCCACTCATTACTAAAGATCTGCTGTATTTCAAATCTTATTTTCAGTACTGTCCCTTGTTGCTTCCAAACACAGTCCTTTCTGCTTCACTAAGTCAAACACCAACCCTATAGGCTGCGGCTGAACAACGCTGAACCCCGCTGCTAAGGACCGCTGAAGAACTGCTGGCGGCTATGACAATCAAACGAAGGCATCCGATGCGTTCGCCCCCGTTTGAATCAAACGAAGGCATTCGGAGGACCTACGCCGTATCAAAGCATTTTTCACCTGGCTGAATTGAGTGAGTTTAAGAGGACGCAGCAACGGTAGTAATACATCATTTTATAATGACTTTGAGCCTGCATGTGCAAAAAGCAACCCGTTTGGAACACTATCACTAGCGAGTATGCTAAAGGCATGCGATGCGTTCGCGATGTTCTTGGCATGCAGTGGGGCCTTTGGCTTGTGCTTGCGAGTGGTCAGCTGTTCATTCTGCTGCTTCGTCAGCTGTTACAATCGCTAGCAGGCAATGCCTGCAAGCAAGGCACTGCCGCTGCTGGCTTCAACAGTTGGCCGACACTCTCTGTACAACTCTGGCCAATCACTGTGTCGCCATAATGGAAAGTGGTAAGGTAAGATATGCAAGGAGGACCAGGCAAGGCATAAGCTGTGCTGGGATTTCAATGTTCCAATGCAATCTAATCCATTCCAAGTCTAGCAGGACCCTGATGTCCAATAAAAGGAGTCAATGGATAATATGTGTCCACAATCAACTATTCAACGTCTTCAAAAGGAAGGAAGGAAGGAAGGAAGGATGGATGGATGGATGGATGGAAGGATGGAAGGATGGAAGGATGGAAGGATGGAAGGAAGGAGGGAAGGATGGAAGGGAAGGATGGAAGGGAAGGATGGAAGGGAAGGATGGAAGGGAAGGATGGAAGGATGGAAGGATGGAAGGATGGAAGGATGGAAGGATGGAAGGATGGAAGGAAGGAAGGAAGGAAGGAAGGATGGATGGATGGATGGATGGATGCAAAAACATACAAAATGGCATGGATGCATGCGTCAAGCAAGTATGTTGATGGGAATGATAGGCTCACAAACGCTCATGACTCGCAAAGCAAAGAAAAAATAATCGAAGCAAATGGAACTTCAACAACCCAATGGCCGTTGTGAAATATGTCCGCACCGTCCATACCTACATTCTTATCAAGCTCTCTGGATTGAACCAAAACTCCTTACCACAGGTGTGTGGGAATCCAGCCATGGAAACAGTGTGCCTGCACATGATTTTCTCCTCTGTGTGTAAGCTCGCGCAGGCCCAGAATTGCCGTCACCTGGCATCGAGATTGGCCCGTCACAAGGGGATCCGTATTGAATCTTGAATAGATAGAAAAAGAAACTTAGAGAACAATAAAGGAAAGAACAACATAGAAAAAAAACGGCGAGTATATAGAGGTTTACATTCGTTTTTATTGTTGTTGTTTTCTTTTGGATTTCCAAGATCAGCTCTCAGCAGCCTCCTGTTGGACTATCAGTGACTATCAATTTGAGCGGAGCCTCAACGACTCTACCCACACTTACCCACACCAACTGTAATCACAGAAAGCATAGGCATCAACGCAAAACAGGATGTTCTTTAACATGGTGCCTGTTTTATAAGTAGGGGCTTGAGGTTTGGAAGCAGCTGTGACCCCACAGGAATCCCAAACAAATAGTTCAAATTGATACAGCTAACGTTCAGGCTTGACACGGGATTGATAGCCCTATTGTTCCCACCAGCACCAATTGCTTCGATGATTTGTAGGCTTGGCATAGCTCAGCACCGAGAAAGTCATCAGGTGACCTTAAGATAACCAAGGACTATTTAAACTAAAGTCGGGCTTCAAAACCAGATGCTCGGATTGTTCGGGGAGCATGAGGGACAAACGTGACAAGGGGTCCACCTTAGACCGACCGCAACGCACGGCACCCTTCCAAACCTATTGGCCGGTATACCCCGGCACCGCTCAAACATGCTCAAACGAACTCAGAACATGACGGCCGGGTCCATGCCATTCACCGTGTCTAGTGACAGCAAACAAAGGAATTGATGCACCCAACGAAAGAAAGAGCACGACAGCCCAGCGGCCCAGCTGTTTGTCAAGAACGGCTGGTGCCAACTGCCAACCCCGCCCCAGAGTGATATGCTCAGTGTTGAAAAGCAAATTAATGGTCTGAAAAATATTTTTCGGATTTGGGGTCTACATGTGTTCTGCTGCAGTCTTGTGCTTGGTTCGTGTGCCGCTGTTCCGATAAAGGGTGCAAAATGACGTCTGTGGCGGAAGATCCTGTACCTATCATCCCATATTGATAAATGCACCCCAAAGGCTGCTGTGGGCGTGTTGTTCCACATCGAACATGGCACAACATGAAAAATACTTCAGGCGGGTGTGTTGGCCAACTTGTTGCTGAAACAGCATCCACCGAATGCAATGCCACCGCCCCCCCAGCCGTCTGAAAACCACATGAAGCATCAGGCACTGTAGCGCGCAATGTTTCAACAACTTCATCGACTGCTGATCGACTGCAAGATGACACGTGCCGCGAGCATGCACACCCTTAAAGTTTGTGAAATGCAGTTGAATTTTGTTGGAAGATGAAAACGACAACAGGATGGTGCACATGCAACAAAGACCCTGAAGTTGAACAAACGAAAAAGCAAAGTGCTTTCTGCTTCCTGTGCATGTCTTTGAATGCCGCAATGAACAAACGATGATCATGTTGCTCTTGTGTGTCTGCCTATACTGTACACGTTCCGTTTGTGCTCCGTAGGCAAAAACAGCCAAGATGCCCAATCTGACACATGCAGTCTAGTCTAGTTTAAAAAATAATATGTGTTCTTTGGATGGTTGACGTGACGTTTTTGCCAAGTCAAGAAAGAACATGATGCTTCAAACCAAACCCAACCAAAATTGCTGGTCCGGTTGATAAGGGTAGCGGTTGAAAGTTCTGGCAATGTGTCAGCCACGATCTGATGTTCCACCACGCTTTATAAGCTACTTGGGAGCTCAAAGCAAGTAGGCCCTTCAACATGCGGCATCGCGTCCCCCCCTACATCCGCCGTTAGATTTTCCTGAATTGATCTCAATATATCTTATATAATTACTATCTTAATTGTATCTAAAGGTGGTCACAGTGTGGTTGATCTTCAGTACTTCCGAATCTTCCAAAGCGTGACGCGCGGGCCCTGGTGTCAGGATCCTTGACGTAGGTGTTGACCTTATCAAAGTTGATTCATGCTATCTCCCAGAACAACCATGGAAGAGAGTGAAAGCCCCACTCTTCAAGAACCAAGGGAGGCGCCAAATAGGTCATGGAAGTCCTTGAAAGCTGCAAACTGATGGGCGGTTTTTTCTAAGGCAATTTCAACATGTGCAATTCCCGCGACCAGTGAATTTCAACAAAGACATACATGTCTCAGAATCCTTCGACGGCTTTTTAAAGGACCCCAACCAAGCATTAGGCTCTGGTAAAAACTACGTGGCCATGCTCCAAAACCCCAAACCCTAAACCACATCTTGGTTGAAAGTGATTGACTTGACTTGCTGAAACCTGCCGCGTCCCAGCTTACAAGGGTTTCACTCCAGGGTTTCAACTGACGATGCAAAGACACATCGGGATTGCAGGTCCTCTACGTCCTCCATCCCCACCTCTTCTCTCCAACAGCTAAATGGAAAGTACTTTGACACAGTAGCTGAAGAGTGGGCACGGACTGGCTTGGCGTCTATGCAGCTCTGGTTGCAACTGCCCTCTATTGAATTTGGGCTAAACCTTCCAGGCCCAATAAAATACAACATATACTCCAAGGTTATTTTGCTCTGTGTTGTTCTTTGAGTCTGTGGGCGTTGAACAAAACACTAGGAAAGCAACAACTTTGGCACTCCTCAAGGCTTTTGGCCAATGCACAGATCAAAATTGATAGACCTCAATGACTTTCAATTGATGGACGAACCCAATTCAACAAAACAATGTATATTACGTGTTTGCTTTGATGCTGATGCCCAAAAAGGGGTTGAACAGTGACAGTCTGCGGGAAACGCAAAGGTCACACAAACTGGAAGATGTGTGAGTCAAACTGAATGTTGGATGTCAATTCCACAATCCCTTTCTCGCAAAAATGGATGTCCAGTGGTTCTCCTTCTTCTGTGTTCTGCTTCTTCCCCATCCCCCCCAGCCCAGCGGTGCCTCCTGATTTGCCCGGCAACGCTCTCGG